GAGAGGGGGAGGGAGAGAGAGGGAGTGAGAATTGTACACATATACATGTACATGTGCATTCATCTGAATTTCAATTCGACCAATCATTACGGCTTATACTGTAAGAATATGTTACTGTATACTAGTGTATAGTGGGTTTTTTCGAGGATAGCAAATTTCGCGAATTTCGCGGATTTTTTCATGATTCGCGAAATTAAATTCCTTGAAAATCAATTTAATACGGTACAAGATGGCAGATTAGTGGAAATTCACGAAAATTAATTCCGCAAACTTCCGGATATGGGTCATTTGCGAAATTTATTATCCTTAAAAAAAATCCGCTATACGGTACTATAGTGGAGGCTATTTTTTTACTTTTTTGAATTTCCCGGCCATTTTAAGAGATGACTCCACCAGATCAATCCAGGGCTCTTCTCGACTGGTTTCATTCCTTAGCAATGCCTCAGGACTGAGATCCAACTCTTGAAAACTATTAATAAATAAATAAATAAACAAACAAATAAATAAATAAATAAATAAATAATGATGAGATTGCTTACCCAATAGCAAATATGTCTGGTATTGTTTCCTGATACACTAGCCACTTGTCCACTCTCTGTATAGGATACTGTCCATTGACATTCCAAGTACCACAAAATAAACTAAAAAAAATAATAATATAATTATAACTGAACAATTGGAATTAAATTCAATTAATACATAGCCGGTAATATTAATCAAAGAATTTTCAAAGCTGCTCCAAAATGGAATAAACCACGGGCTATAGCCTTGGGTATTTTTCAAAAATTGTCTGATTTTTAAAAATGGCCATAACTCAAATATTTCTTGTCGGAATCTGCTCAAACCTCCCAGACAGCATAAGGACATCAATATGTATCAGAAAATGTAATAAAAACTTGGGGTGATTTTGGAGCCATTTTTTGGAAAAAAACCATGGGCTATAGCCTTGGGTATTTTTCAAAATTTTGGCATTTTCTTAAAATGGCCGTAACTTGAAAAATTAAAGTCAGAATCACCTCAAATTTTCTACACAGCATAAGGACATCAATATGTATCAGAAAATTTAATAAAAATTTGAGGTGATTTCGGAGCCATTTTTTGGAAAAATCCATGGGCTATAGCCTTGAGTATTTTTCAAAAATTGGCCATTTTTTAAAAATGGCCGTAACTTGAAAATTTCTTGTCGGAATCGACTCAAACTTTCTACACAGCATAAGGACATCAATATGTATCAGAAAATTTAATAAAAATTTGGGGTCATTTCGGAGCCATTTTTTTGAAAAATCCATGGGCTATAGCCTTGGGTATTTTTCAAAAATTGGCCATTTTTTAAAAATGGCTGTAACTTGAAAATTTCTTGTCGGAATCGACTCAAACTTTCTACACAGCATAAGGACATCAATATGTATCAGAAAATTTAATAAAAATTTGGGGTCATTTCGGAGCCATTTTTGGAAAAATCCATGGGCTATAGCCTTGG